GACAATAGAAAACATTTTTTAATGAATAAACAGCTTTTACAGAGACTGTCTATATTACATTGTAATTGCAACATAAATGAGCTGAAACTTTTCTTTGTACAGATTTGGAGGAAAGAAAATCTTAAAGAGAAATCAAGCATATAGAGGTAGTTGAATAGCAATATGGCAGGGGGAAAAAAGCATTATCTTAATTCTCCTTTCAGTTCATTATAGTATGAGAGTAAAATGGCTGCTCAACAAACAACTGGAATAACAGACATTTTTGCCTCTGTTTCAATGGGTTGCTTGATATTTTACTCCTGGCATTACTGAGAATTGCATAAAATGATGAAACTAGTTTATCTAAGATAATCCTATGATTCCACGTTGACCTATTTGCTCTCCTTTTATTTTGTTTATTGTTGTTGCACTGACAATAGATACCTGTTAGACAACTTTTAAAATGATGTATAAGCTACAGTGCTGCTTTGTAAACTTGTTTATCACATTTGCTGTGACAAATTTTTAAAAGGCTACAAAATCATGAAGCAAATCTTCAAAATGACACCAGGAACAGAGATTACAGGCACTTCTCTCTTAAGGTAAACTTAGTGCATTTGCAAATTCCGAGTTGTTAGTGAAAATCTCTTCATTTCTCTTCTGGATGTGCATAACCCAGATTATAAAATAGTTGAATGGCTCGAGCTATCATTCTAGGAGGAATTGAACACATACATTTTACACAGCTCTTTTTCCTTCTTCCTCTCTGCATTCAGGAAGGGCCACAAATTGCAGCCCACGCAGCCAGCTGCTTTTCCAACTTGTCTTTGATCATAAATTAAAACCTCAATAAAAAAAATTCTGCCTGTAAAAAAATTGACTATTCTAACCATTACTATTACATGTATTTTTAATTCGGGATGGAGGAGGGTCCACAAGCTGGAGAACTGGCTGAAAAATCTGTCCTTGTCCATTATTTCAGCTGCTTTCCATTTGCATGTTTAGATGATCCATACCTCTGCTATGATTATGCCTTGGTAAATGAGAATGGATGCAAAGTCAGCATGTTGGAGTAAGTCCCTGAATAAAACTCTATCTTGAAAATAGAGTCTGCTTAGGGAATCACAGTCCCCAGCGGATTCCAGCTCATCAACAGTGTGCAACCTGTTGACAGTTAAGAGACCTCTGGGTGCTGTGAGCCAGCCTCAGGAGCTCCATTGCTCCAATGGCTACTCACAGGGGATTATCTGAACCCATGCGAGTGCCACAGGCACAGCTGGAAGTGTCACATGTGCAGTGATTTGACTAACCTCACAGATATACAAACAGTCAGCCCTCCCCACTTCTAAGCCAGGGGAGATCACTCTTTTTTCTGAGTTGTCTACCGAAATTAACTTTGTAAGATTCCATTTTCTACATTTTGCTGTTTGTTAGCTAGCAGCATAATACAGTATAAAGCAGAAAGGCATGTCTCCCTGGTACCTAGTGTACACACACACACACACACACACACACACACACACACACTAATCTACTAGAAAAAGACTGGGTTCGATAGACAGGAAAACCTAACCAAATAAATGGCACTGTCTACCAAGGAGAAGTCTTGTCCTTCTGTCCTAAATTTAGCTTTATGTCACTGTATAATCTTCATTTCTAAGCTTTGCTGCAAAATTAACTCATAAGAGGTGAAAATGGTCACGTCTAACTAATTACCATGCTCAAGTACCTCCCAAAGAAAGCCAAGGCTGAGCCTTGTGTCTGCTTCCTACACTACTAAAACAAAAGCTTGCTGTAAAACCACTCAAATGTGTATCTAAGCTACTGAGAGCAAAGTAAAATGTTTCCTTGCCAAGCTCTACATTTGCTGGAGTTAAGTACTCACTTAACATGAAGCATTCTATGGTGTGGAATTTTATTTTAAAAATCCAAACTTCCCTTTATACCCAGATTAAGTAAAGGTACGTTAGGTAATTTAATTTTACTTAACCTACAACTTCTCACTGTGAGTTTCTGGGGTGCTTTTGAGTTGATTGTCATATCTATTTAATAAAATTATGTATAACAGAAACTACTTAAAATGTTAAAAAAAATCTGCAAAGTAATGGATTCAATAACAAGCTTGGCTACTTACTGGATGACTACACTGAGTGGCCAGATTATTATGTTCTTTGAATGCATAATAATCTGGCCACTCGGTATATATATATATATATATATATATATATATATATATATATATATATATATATTATAGGCCTGGTACATGAATTTGTGCATGGGTGGGTTCCGGTCAGCCTGGCCAGGGGGAGGAGACATGGGCAGTTGGCCAGCTTGCTTGCTGGTAGAACTCCTGGTCGAAAGGACAATTTGCTTATTAGCTTTTTATTATATAGGATATACATGAGTGGCCAGATTACTATACATTCAGAGATGGTAATAATCTGGCCATTCAGTGTATGTTACTTAGGCAAAGTATGTAATATTGCAGAGCCTCAGCATTCTTATCCAATATGGAGACGATGTGATCTCACATGGTAGATGTGAGAAATAAAATAATTTAACAGGCTCATGTATGTGAAATCACCTGGCTCAGTACCTGGTATGTAGTAGGCTCACAATACATTTTTATTGGAGCAGCATAAAGAAATACCATGACCTGCTGAAACCGGTTTGGTCCAGTGGATAGAGTGTCGGCCTGCGGACTGAAAGGTCCCAGGTTTGATTCCAGTCAAAGGCATGTACCTTGGTTGTGGGCACATCCTCAGTAAGGGGTGTGCAAGAGGCAGCTGATCGCTGATTCTCATCACTATTTCTAACTCTCCCTTTCTCTTCCTCTCTGTAAAAAAATAAATAAAATATATTTTAAAAAAAGAAAGAAATACCATGACCTAAGCATAAAAGTCATAAATTGTAAAATTCACTCACCCTGGCATGGCCAAGATTTTCAATACATTTTGGAGAGCAAGGAATGATGAGTTGGTTTTTCTAATGGAGCTACAACTTAAGGCTTCCATTTAATTAGAAAATTTAGACCTCCGAACAATACTACATTTTAGCTGTATTGAAATAAGAAAAATTTGCCTACTCAGAATTCTTCTTTATCCCTGAACCTTACTTGTTTTCTAAGTCTTCTCACTTTCCAAAACAGACTTGACTCCAAAAGGAACTATCTGTAAAGCATCAGATTACCGTCCAATACTTAGTGGTGCAACTGAGTTTAAAGGGGCTAGAAATGAGTATTGTGAGTAAAGGTAGCATTTTATGCAAATATAGGGCCCTGAAGAAATTCCATAACAATGAATAATCTAATCATATATATTATTTGTTGAGTGTATCCTAAACCACTCTGCTAATTGGTTTACATATATTACCTCATTTGATGTTCATTACAACCCTATATGTGGTATTTATCATTACTATTTGCCAGATGAGAAAACAGGGGCTCAGGGGAAAAAAAGTTAAATCACAAAAGTAACACATCTAGCAAGTGGAGATGCTTATGACCTTTTTTTTGGGGGGGGGGGAAGAGGGTTTACATTTATACTAGACAATAAGAAACTGTTATGACTACATGGTGTGCACCAAGTTGGAGGGGTAGTCTGTAATATTATGCTCTTGGAGCTTTTTAGTGGGCAGTATCCATGCCTGTCCTTCCATTCTTTATCAACCCAGTCTGGCTCCAAACATTAAACCTGGTAACATGATGCTCTGATAACATAGCATCCATTTAGAAAGTGCAGATTATCTCATTTTGCTTTTTCTGTTTCTGGTCACAGGTGGTGATGCAAGAAATCATAGTGATTATTTGAGGCATTAACCTCTCACCTTAACACAATGGACAGGCTCAAGTAAACAACGCACTGCTGCAGTTCTGAATAATAGGGTAGAGGAGGATGGTTATTTTCTTAAATGTACAAACGGCATGATTCACTTCTTCCCTGCCCTAATCTTTTCACTCGTCATTATAACACTCCCATACATACGCCATTTTTCAGTTTATCTGGCATTAAAGGAACCACACTAACTCTAAAGCAAGTTAAACCAGGGCTCACTCTTACCTCCTTACCCACCATTCTTCCCTATATTGAAATCTTTGGCTCAATGGAACTAGGAGGAAAGGCAACTGTTAGATAAAATCATGTATTAGCTTTTTGTTTCCTTTAAGAAGATTAAAAGAGCAAAATGACAGTTTGGGTTGTTTTTTAAGCATTTTACCTTTTCTACCAGCTTCTTTGCACTTTTCATAATGGACAATCTTTCATCAAGTATTTCCACACATGCTGGCCAGGCTGTGGCCCTCAGAACCCTGAAAAGAGGCAGGGTATGGAGGCTAGTTGGGGCTCACTGTGACATGCCAAACTGAAAACCATCTCCGTAGAAGGATTATTATCTTGCCTAAAAAGCCCATTCCTAACTGAACTGGGGAGAGATTAGAAACATAGAATTAGATCTCTCAGATAAATGTCTGCAATAAAAGGACACTCTTCTGATTCATTGCTTCATTCTAGAAAAATAATTCTTTTAGTCTTGCTCTGTATAACACATAGAAAATGGATGATTTTACTTTATCCTGGCTTATTCTACAATCTATGGCAAATCCCTTAAGTATTTTATACTGTTCCTGTAAGCATCCAATTGGATAGATACAAAAATGGTTCAATAACTGGGATCAAACCTAGTAGAAAATGGTTAAAGCAAAAATGGCACAGTTCTAGTATTGTTACTTCCTTCTAGTTACATGGTTAAATATATCAATAAATAAAGCAAGTGAATTCAGTAATGTACACTTAAATAGTTACAAACATACATGTAGAAAAAAGGATACAATAGTGCAAAAAATAAATTATTAAAACCAATAGGAGTATAAATATTATTTTATACAATGCTTTATAAAACCTGAACTATTTAGAATAGGACCTCAAGTCAGTGAAATAATGCAGCAACATTATTAGTATCTTTGCTTCACATTTCAATCACACAGTCATTCACTGATGAAAGAAAGAGAATTCAAGCAAAACCACTTTAAACTTTCAGAAAATTTTATGTCAAGAGCAATTTTTTTCTGCGCTCTCTAACACCTCTGCTGTGGGTATAGTTGTGCAGCGTGTCAAGAAGTATCTTAACACAGAAAGTTTCTAACAAGTCACATTATTTGGTCTTTCAATTGAATTTCTCTCTGTAATCAACAGCAGGGTAATGCCTCTATTTGATACTTCCTTCAGTTAAGCTGTTATTGCAATTAAATATATTTACAAGATGACTCCCCTAGGCAGTAGAGAGGGTGAAAATTCCTCTTCATCAATCCACTCTCACTAGTTTTGGTTTCGTGCTATAAAGGCGAGGATGCGCCGAATGCCATTCAGTCTATCCTTCAAGGACCTCATTGCTAGGAATGGAAGCTGAGCACGGCTTTCCAGTGGCAGAACTGCTAATATCCACCAGCACCAGGCTGGACCATTTGGGTTAATCTGCAACAGAGAAACAAAATTATTTCATCTTATTCCTGTGCAATTGACATCAGTGTGCAGGTTTTCAAAGTAGCAAAGTAAATATCCCAGGTGAAACTGCTTCTGTGTGTAGCAGAGACTGATAATTGCCCCTGTACCTATTTCCCCTTATCTTAGCTGGGTACATAGCCACCCAGAAAAAGACAACAGTTTTCAACCTCCCTTGCAGTTAGGTGAGGCCATCAGACAAAGTTGTGGCAAATTAGATGTAAAGGGAAGTGATATGTGTGACTTCTGGGTCATGCATGCCCTAGGAAGGGGGCACATGCCTTCCACTTTCCTCTTCTCTCCTTTTCCCCTAGCTAGAACATGGACATGGTGGTCAGGAGGACTAGGGAAACAGTCAAAGGGTGGTAGAGCTTTGTGAGGATGAAACCTGTAAGGATGGAATGACCTCATAGAACAGAGCTGCCCTAGGCCTCCTGGACATATATGCCTGCTATCTTGTTTAAGCTAGTTATTTTTGGTAGTTGTTAAAAGAAGCAAATCAGTATCCTAAAAGATTCACTATACTTCCTAGCCAGTGTGATTTAACAAGCTGGAATATCCACCTCTCAGTCTCTTCCACTTCTAAGATTCTATTTAAGATCCTTCAGACTGATATATGCAGCTTGTGGGCCTTCAATTTCCATGATCCCTTAGGCTTTGCATGTCTCTTAACTCACTTCATTTCCCTGCTTCTGGCTGAAGGCACTATAGTCCACATATGCTATGTCACTATATAGGGCCACAGTTACAGTTAGCTTCTCTCCTGAAACCAAGCCTGTGGTGCATAGCCCCAAAGCCCAACAATCCCACTTCACAAAAATTTCAAAAAGGGGACATCTGTAATACTTTCAACAACAAAGATAATACAAATAATAATAAAAATAAAACACATTCCCATAAGAAATGTATCCTGTGCCCAGGATACATTTAGTGAAATGGATCCTTACACTAAAGACCTTTCCCATCCCACACAAACCTTTCACCAAAATTCTGTTTTTCAGCAGCTGCTCAGGAATGCATTTTAGACATTGGTGACTTATCTCCTACTAAGCCTGAAATGAGCTTTCTGCCCCCAATTTTCTGAAGGCTGGTTTGGGGACTGTAGCGAACCACATTCTGGTCAAATTACCTACATGTGGGATTATCTGTCTCCAAATTGGTTCACTTAATTATGCCCCAAACCTCACTGCCCTCTTGGCTTCTCTGTGTCTCCAGCTTTAGTTGGATTAATTTTTGTCCCTCACTGCAGTCTGTAATATACTCTCCCTCCTATTATCAGTTTTGAATATTAGATGGACATATTCTGAACTTTCTTTCCCAGGATAATTAACTAAGATATTTAAGCTGATGTTAATATCTGACTATTTTTAAGAAGCCTTCTCCCAAAGCTAGAACGTTTTTATTAACGGTACTACTGGTGCTGGCGCACTGTCTGGATAAAACTGGATGTAATTTTGGCTTTTTGTTTGTTTACTGTTGCTGCCAAAGCAACACGATAACAGTCCCAATAAAAAAGGAAATGAAACCCCAAGTTTCAGCTTTCTGTTACGTATTGAGCCCTTATGAGTCACTCTGTAGCATCTGTGTGTTTTTGGTAGAAGATGCTGTTATCATTGCTGATCGCTATTTTCTGCCTGACCCGTAGAGAATGCTTTCCAGAAGGTGAGTGAAAGGGAACATTAAGTTCTATCATGAGCTTCCTCGGAGCTCTGCTGTAGTCCTGAGTCACAGTGTCCCAGAACCCGGAGCTGGATTATTTATTGGGAAGCACTAATTGGCCTTTCTCCCTTCAACATTCATGATGTATTTTTAATGGGGAAAAGGAGCCACCTTTGTGGTCTGGAGAGAGCAAGACATTTCAGCCCAGTAGGAACAAGCTGGTTTTTTAAAGCCTCAGAATGCAAAAGAAAGAAGAGAATTTAGAGATCTCTTAATCTATCTGCTTCAGTTCAAAGATGGGAGAAAAATGGAGAAAGGGGAAGGGACTTACCCAAGCTCACACAACTAGAGAGGTATGACTAGTCTTTTGGCAGGGATGTCAGAATACACATATTCTATTTTATTATTGTGAGAGAGTCAGGAATGTTGTAAGCAAAGAATCCAGAAAGTTCTGGAGGAGGTGATGATATAGGAGAGCCAGCTCAGAATGTGGGAAAGGTGACTGTGGGGAAATATTTGCCTAGGATAGTTCCAGTCTTGTCCTAGAAAAAGAGTGTCCTCTGATTTATACCAGGCAAGCAAAGCTTGGTGAATTTTAACCATCTCCAATTTCCTGGAGAACTTCTGGTCTGCAGCTTGATTTCTCAAAGGGAACTGTCCCCCTAAGAAATAGACTGACTCAGTAGATCCCAATGAACTGCTTTCTAGTATAACTCAGCCAATGGTAAATTTACTGTGTCCATTTTCTCAGGTCCTGTTCACCCCTGATGAGGACAATGACAAGGGTCTAGATCCACAGGACTAGACATGGAAAGACCCAGGAGTGAAAAGTTTCTGTGGACTTGCAGTTGGAATGTGTTAAGGTAGCTGGCCCTATTTCCTAGCTCCTGAAACAATGTGTGTGGGGGGGAGGGAGACAGTTATGAAGCTCACTGGAAGTGGCAGCCTTTGATCTCAGCTATCAGGACACCCTTCTCTCAAGCCTGGCCTTTATGTGAATCTTGTCACCTGAACACATTACCATGGTGTGAATCTGGACTCCAACTCGAGGTTCTCCTTTTGATGGTGTCTGTGTTCCCATCTCTCACCTGACTTATCTGGCAAAACCTGTCTTGGACCCACGTTCTTACTGCTGTACTTTAGTTCCTGGAATTCTGACCTGGGATCCTTTTGGTCTTACCCCTGATGCCTAATGCCCAGCCACACAATACCAGATTAGATTTATCTTGTTCCATGCATTTGATTTGCTAGATGACCACACATCCATCTAATCACAAACCCCAGATTCTTTCATCTGCTGGGGGCAACCAATTAAAAAGAGACACTTTATATACCTGAGGATCCGCATCTTTGTCTGGCATTGGACCAAAGTGATTGATTATCCGATTCCTAAGAGAATTTTTGAGCGAATGAAACCATGATGATGCTTGTTCATAGACACAGTTATGTAATCCCATGAGTTCATCATAATCCTCTCCTAGAACCTGAAAGTGTCAAAGTGAAAGTGAAACACTCTGTACCTTCTCCATCACTCCTAGAGCCACTATTGGTACCTGACTCTTTTTGAGCATCCATCCTGTCCCCCCTATTGCAAGGCTCACCCACCCAGCTTTCTCTTGTGTGGAATGTGAAAAGCTCCTCAGCCAGATGATGGACTGTGTAAATACTGCTGAGGGTGGAGGAAGGAGAAATATTTGGCTGGGCAAACTGGCTGAAAGAGCAACACATATAGAAAACCAGAAATGCAAACTGGCCTGAGTGGAGGCTTGATCTTAAACTAGGTTATGATGGCTTATGCTTCTCTCCTTTTCATTTTTTACACCTGCTTTCTCATTGCTTACTGGTAAGAGAGACACGAATATGCCTGTGTCTCACTTTATAACTTTATCTTCTAAGTTGAATATATTTTTTTCATTGATCAAATACTTATTAATAGTGTCCTACGTACTGACTGTAAGTATAAATGAACACAAGTTCATCTCCTCTTCTGCCCATTAGTCCAGAAAACAAAGGATTAAATGGACATGTCATCTTGCTGCCTTAGCAAATGATGTATTATTGGGAAGAGTTCTTAGCCAGGTTGCCCATTTTGAAATACAAATGCATGTGTGAATCTCTATGATTATCTCAAAGGAAAATATTTTAAAATATAAATAAATTGATAAAGCAATACACATGTGTAGATCCTGCTCCAGCTGTATTCTTTGGTACCCCTGGCAGAGCCCTGACTCTTAGCCGAATGGGCCCAAGGGTTGGTCTGGCTTGGCATTTATTATCCACGAATATAACTCAGCAACTAAGCAGGGAGAACCAGGGCAGGGGGAGTGCTCTCACTGCCACTCTACAACCCAGTGACAATCAGGCAGCATTCAATGTTGCGGCACCAATTTGATAAGAAATCCCACGGCCCCCAAATATGTTAAGGGATCTTTTTGAAACCAATCCATCTGCCAAGCCACAGGAATAACCTGGCTTTGGGATTCTTGGCACTAGCCACCCTTACCTTTTGGTCTTCAATATATTCAATATCGGCTGTGTTGTAGCCATCCCGCTGGCCCTGACGAAGGACCCTAAAGCGCCTCTTGCCCACACTGTCAATCACTGAACGGCCATCGGCAAAGAACTGAACATGTCTGATTTCTAGGATGCAGCCATATTCTGCAAACCTGTTTATTGGAAATAAAGTCAAGAAACTGAAATCTTCATGATTTGTTTCCCTAGCCTCACCAAGCCATTTCTACACCTACTGTGCCTCAAGGGACTTCTGACCATTCACCTGTCCCAGGATCTATAGCCACAGCTATACAACAGGCAGTGCCTGTGTAAAATTTTTTTTAATATATTAATATAACTGCTGGTATTTATTGAGTACATTCTATGTACTACGATACTATGCTCAGTGATTTTTGTGCATTTTTAACTCACAAACCCAATGATGTAGGCATTCTTATTGTACCCATTTTACAGATAAGGAAACTGAGTTACAATCAAGGTTAAGTAACTTGCCCAAAGTCAAACTTGTTTCAAGGCTGAAGCCAAAACATGAACTCAGGAAATTTGACTCCAGAGCCCACCCTCAAAAGAAGTTTTATAGTATATGCCACCCACTTAACAAAGGAATTATCCTGAGGTTCCTTTAAATAGGCAGCCTCTCAGAGAGAAATCAAGATGGCGGCATAGGTAAACCCTTAAACTGCTGCCTCACACAACAATTTCAAAACTACAACTAAAAGACAAAATGAACATCATTCAGAACCACAGGAAAGCTGGCTGAGTGGAAATTCTACAACTAGAAGGAAAGAGGAAAGCACACAGAGAATCAGAGGAGCTGCAAAAGGCTGAGGTACGGAGACATACGTGCAGGCGGTTGAGTGCCTGGTTGGCTTTCTCTAGCAAGAAGGAGACAAAAGCTCCCAAATGTGCTGAACTCCAGTTCTGACTGCACTGAACCCCAGTTCCAGGCAAGACTCTGGGGACTCAGGCTTATACTGGGGGAATCTGGACTGTCAGGTGGAAACTCAGAGGAGCCTCGAAAGGCAGAAGTCTGGAGGCACACATGCAAGTGCGCATGTGTGCAAAGAGAGAACTGACTGCCGAGTGCACTACTGGCTTTCTCTAGTGGGTGGGAAATGGAAGCTCCCCACTGCACTGAACTCCAGTTCTGCATGAGAATCTGGGAATCCAGATTCATTGGGGGATAAACTGGACTGTCTGGCAGCGGCTGAAATTCAAGGACAACTTACTCTTAGAGGTGCTTGCAGTGATTACTGAGAGACACTGAGATCCAGGGGCCTCATAGGGCAGGGCTGGCTGGAAACCAAGACTGTCTGATCAGCCCTGAGACTCTGCCCCATACAAGCTGAGCAAAGAGGCTTTTGCAATTTTACAAGGCTTGTCTCATAAGGCTGTCTCCAGCACAGAAGTTCTCCTGGCATAGACACAGCTGATCCTCTTGGAGGCAATTGGTCTGGAGGTCAATTTCTCCCAGTTGATACCAACAATAATCAAGACTGTAACTACAACAAGGCTGTAAACAATCCACAAAGGGGTGCACCAAGAGTGTCCACCTCAGGTAACTGGGGAGGCAGAGCCACTTGGCCAAATAGGACACCTAGCACACAAAGCCACTCTACCAATTCAGGGAAAGAGCAAAAATGCGGGGACAAAGAAATAGATCACAAACAAAAGAAATGGAGGAAACCAAATGACTGGATAGAGAGTTCAAAACCATAGTTATAAGGTTTTTCAAGAATTTTTAGAAACCGTTGATAAATTTAGTGAGACCCTCAAGGATATAAAAAAATATCAATTAGAAATTAAACATACACTGACTGAAATAAAAAATATTATATAGAGACCCAACAGCAGACTAAAGATTTGAAATACAAAGAAGCAAAAAACACTCACTGGGGAAAGCAAAAAGAAAAAAGAATCCAAAAAGTTGAAGATAGTGTAAGAAGCCTCTGGGACAACTTCAAACATACCAACATCAGAATAATGAGGGTGCCAGAAGAAGAGAGAGAACAAGATACTAAAAATGCATTTGAAGACATAGTGACCGAAAACTTCCTCCACCTGGTGAAAGAAATAGACTTACAAGTCCAGGAAGCACACAGAACCCCAAACAAAAGGAATCCAAAGAGGACCACACCAAGACACATCATAATTAAAATGCCAAGAGAGCTAATATTAAAAGCAGCAAGAAAAAAAAACAGTTAATTACTTACACGGGAGCACCCATATGGTTATCAGCTGATTTCTCAACATAAACTATGCAAGCCAGATGAGAGTGGCAAGAAATATTCAAAGTGATGAATAGCAAGAACCTACAACCAAGATTACTCTACCCAGCAAAGCTATCATTCAGAATTGAAGGTCAGATAAAGAGCTTCACAGATAAGAAAAAGCTAAAGGAGTTCATTACCACCAAACCAGTATTATATGAAATGCTGAAAGGTATTCTGTAGGAAGTGGAAGAAGAAAAAAGTAAAGATAAAAATTATGAACAATAAATACATATCTATCAACAAGTGAATATAAAAATTAAGTGAACTAAAAATATGATGTACAGAATAAACTGGTGAATATAATAAAATGAGGGACATAGAAAGGGAAAGGACTGAAAATTCTCAGGGGAAAAGGAGTGTGGGAAGAGACTGGACAAAAATCATACACCTATGGATGAGGACAGTGGAGGGGGGGAGATAAAGGCAGAGGGTGGGGTGGGAATCAAGTGGAGGAGAGCTATGGGGGGAAAAAGGGAACAATTGTAATAATCTGAACAATAAAGATTTATTAAATAATAAAGAAAAAATAAAATTAAAAATAAATAAATAAATAAATAAATAAGGAGGTAAGGAAGTAAATAAGCAGCCTCTCACATACTAAACTGGGAGCTAGAGGGATCCTGATCCTTACAAATGCCTATGGTCATGACCTGGCTAAGTCTCCTGAGTAGTACCTCCCAATCTCCTGGGAAAGTCCTAAGGAAAACCAAAAGCTTTCGCCACCCACCTTCCTTGACTCACACAGCTCCTCACTTACCCCTTGACAGGATCTCCAAGGCACATGCCGAACTGTCTTGTGCCTGTCTCAATGCATCTACGAATCATCAGACGGTAGCAAGGCTCAAATATGTGTAGGGGACAAGGAACGGTGGGATAGGCCATAGTACACACAAAAATAGGCACATTCTTATTTAAGCTGTAAGGAAGAGTAAATGATATGATTCTCAATGCAATGGAGCACAACACAGAAAGGCTGGTCACATGTCACCACGTGGTTCCTCCACAGGAAAGTAAGGAAACATTAAGTGTTTGTTGTTGTTGTTTTAAAATATATATTTTTATTGATTTCAGAGATGAAGAAAGAGGGAAAGATAGAAACATCAATGATGAGAAAGAACCAATGATCAACTGCCTCCTACACAACCCCCACTGGTGATTGAGCCCACAGCCCAGACATGTGCCCTGACCAGGAACTGAACTATGACCTCCTGGTTCATAGGTCAGCACTCAAGCAGTAAGCCATGCTGGTCAGGCAGAAACATCAAGTTTTTATGGCTGATAAAAAATACTGAAATGCAACTGATGGTGTGGGCTGAGTCTCATGATGGGGTTAGCCTAAGGGCTGAGGTAAAAATGGACATTCTACACAATCTAATTTGGCTAAAGTTCTCTATCTAGTACATTAGCATGGTAAGTGACAGCTATACTTCATATTTTTTTCTTCTTTCATGCTGTCCACTCAACAATCTCTCCAGGTGTCTTGCTGGCAGTATGGGGAAGGGTAGTGGTGGTAAAAGTGGGCCCAGATCTCCAGAACAATAGTGGGACATTCCCTACATTTTCTGCACCTCAAATTTGCAAAGCCCCTATAAATCTGCATGGCAGGTCCAGCTGGGAGGAAGAGGGAGGAACGGAAGGTGGGAGTAATTTAGCTTAGTGATGCTCAAATACATCTGTGCAGCAGGATCACTGAGGGCCCTTATATCCAGACCAGCAGGCTGCAATGCCCCCTGAGACTCTTGTGCACCAGCTATGGAATCAGGACCCAGGAGTTTGCCCTTAACAAGTGCCATGAAGGTTCAGACACAAAGCCTGAGGGGGTTCCACCAACTGGGCCAGCTCCTCCTAGATTCTGTTCTCATATGTGTCTAATAAATCCAATATAGGAACAGCTAAACCTATCAATAGGTATAAGACCATTTGTCCAAATCTCAAAAGGATTAAATTTAGGATGCCTTTAAATAGAAATGTAATATACTTCTCTATAGTATATTCCAGTTTTTGTTAATAAAACGTTAAATAATATGTGAGAGGAGGGCTCACAGAGATTCAAGACAAACTTAAGAATCAGAAATAAAGATAAAGATGCCCTGAGTGGGGGGGGGTGCAATGGTAAGATATGTTCACATATAATACCTTAATAAAAAAAAAATGCCCTGAGTAGATGTAATATAAGTCAATGAGGGGGGGAAAAAAGGATTTAATTTCTAGCTTCCCAGGAAAACATGTTCAAAGTGCGAGAGACATTTAGACAGTATAAGCTGGTGGCAGTATATAAATGGTTCTCTACAGGGCAGGCATAAGACCAGAACAGTTTTTGCCACATGGAACCTCACCCCCAGAATGCTGTGAGGGTACCACTGGAGTTGAGACAGGAGGGCAGCAGTATGAGAGGCAGAAATCAGTGATTGTCTCCTGTTTTGTCCACTAAGTGAGCTGTTCTTCCAGCCAGGCAGAGAACCTGGAGCCCTACTTGCATCCCCATCCTTACCTTTCACCTCTCATCACCTGTACATGGCAGAGGACACAGCACTCTTACAATTACCATTTATTAAGTACTTACTAGCCACTAATTCATTTGATTTTCATAACAAGTCCATGAGGTAAGAACTACTATCATCCCCAAACTACCGATGAGGAAACAAGGCCCAGAGAGGTGAAGTGACTTGCCTAGAGTCATGAAATACATTCACTTTGTGGCAAAACTGGGTCATAAGTCTAGGTTTGGCTGACACCAAAGTTCTTAACCTCATAGCACCTCCTTATGTATTTGAAAACAGTCTTCTAGACACTTAAACTACTTCAACTGACTCCTGCCAGTGACACCTAGTTACTAGTGCCAAAATCTGACCTGGCAGTGGTTTGGCTTATGCTTCTTCACCAGTGTACTGGTAAATGTTGAACAACTGACTTTCTGGGGGTGGGGGAATCCCTGGTGTATAGCATTTGCCAATTTCCATAGTGCAGATACTCTCACCACGGCCAACTTCAAGCTATTGACATGGTATCACTGAATGAGAAGTTAGGATGAAATGTGCATTCAGCTCTATGAACTGATATAAGTAAAACTGAAAATAGAAACATGCATATACATACTTAGAAAGTTCTTCCATTTCCTCTTCATAAAGCCTCTTTCGTTCACTGAGTTCTTCTGGAAGGAATTTGGCTATTAGCTCTTCCATTATAACGTTTTTGTTGTACTTTCTTGATGCCAAGCACTATATGAGGAAGGAGGCAATTGGATATTATGCAGTCATCAGAAAAACACAAAGCACTTCTTATGCAATCAGTAGAATAGTCAAGTTACCCACATATTGGAGTAATTTGGGCCCACACATTAGCAGCTCATACTCTCATAATGTATGTATTCTCTGCGTGTTAGAACAGTCAACAGTTGGGTGATTACCAGAGGGGAAGCAAGGGTGGAGGAAGTAAAAAAGGGTAAAGAATGGGATAAATGGTGATGGAAGGAGACTTGACTTTGGGTGGTGAACTCACAATACAATATACAGATAATATAGAATTGTACACCTAAAACCTATATGATTTCATTAACCAAGATCATCCTGATAAACTCAGTGAAATTGATTATTCTTATAATTAGAAAAAAGTATTCTAACAAGGGAAAAAGACCTGCATTTATGTTTTAAAAATCTCACTGTTTTCTCAAACACTGAAATTGAGATCATGTTCTTGTCAAAAGAGGGGGAGAAATCCTTCCCTTTCCATTTTCTGATTATTGTGTTTATAAGCTCACAGAAACAGTCTCCATCTGAGACATGTGAATGTCTATGGTCAAAAGGTTCAGGGAACTAAAAAGTAATTTTTAATCATTGATCCTTTCCTGCCCTGCCCCACCCCCACCTCACCCCAATGCTTGGCTTCTGGATATTTCAAGCCTAAATATTTTTTTGTTCTCTATCTTAAAAAATACACAACTAAATACTGGTGATTTTAAAAAATATATACCATCTAGTTATCACTGAAGTTATGTTATAAACCATGATTTCAGAACTGAACTCAGGCTCAATTATCACTATTTCTCTTCTCCCAAACATCCCTATCACATGCAAATCCAGGCATCTGTAAGTACAGGGCATTAAACTGTTTGGACCTGGCAATAAAACATCTGCCGAGAATTGCTCACTGTGGAAGCTACCCACGCATGCCCAGCAGTGGGAGTTCCTGAGTATAAAATTGTTACCTTCAGACAATTTCTCCTTTCCCAGTATGGGCTATATTTATCTATTCTGCACTGAATATGATTGAAATAAGATATTTATCTCCCTGGGAATGGTGCAAGTGTGATCTTTGTGAAAACAAAGTGATATATGATAATATCTTCTAGCCCCTAAGTCTGGGACCCCACAGCATCTGTCTCCAAGATGTCTTATCAGCCACTGCCATTGTGTGACTGCAGGAGAACTACCTGCTTTGCCTAATCCTGGTCTTGGGGAAAAGCAATGACTCAGGAGGTAGCCAAACCAAGAAGGAGGTGACCTCTGATGCTCAAACAAAAACCAGGAAGGGCATATACTAAACCATTAACAATAGTTTTCTCCAGGTGAAGAGCATAATGGTGGACTTTTCTTTTTTCTGTTTATCTGAGTGTTGCAGTGTTACCGTAACACAAACATATCACTTAAGTATAAGGACCATGGGCTTCTCACATACAATATGGCCAGCAAATCTCACCCCTTTATCTAGGCAAGGATGATGCTGACCCTTCCTCCAACCCAATCATGCCCTCAGTGCTGTCCCACGTGATTATTTCACTCTATTCCCTTCATTTAAAAGTTGGGGTGTTGGGAAAGCTCAACATGTAATTTCTCTGGACCTGCGTTCACCTAGAGGTAGTCTTGTGTCTCCACCCTCTCCTCAGGGATGACAGGGGTCAAGCAACATTAATGCTGATTGTAAAATGTGGCATACAAGTCCCTGAGGGAGGGAAAACAAGTTGGACTCCTGGATGTTCTTTTTCTAAAGAAAATCCCATCGGGGGAAGAAATGAGGAACCTTTGTAATAATATGAACAATAAAGATTGATTTAAAAAAAGAAAAAGAAAAAGAAAATCCCATCGGGCCAACTTGAAAAACAAGGTGGCAATTTGTGTGATTCATTTCAGAGAACCTAGATGCTTCAGAGTTTTTCAAGTAGCCAAGGATCTGCTAATAAATATAGCAGCTTCTGAGGGCAGAACGAGGACCATATTGAAAGTCCGTGAGGTTTCTGCAGCCTTAGGAGTGATCTCTTCAAACCACAGAATATGAGGGGCAAGAGTAGGCTGGGAGAGGTCAATGAGGGGAAAAGGAGACATATGTAAAACTTTCAACAATAAAGAATTTTTAAAGCACACACAGTATAAATGTTGACAATAAAGGGACGTCAGGGGTTGTCTAAGTCCAAGCCTAAAGAGAATATAAAATTCACACATTATAGTGAATTGGGTGCCATGATGGGATTAGAACAAGGATCCGTTTATCACCAATTTAATACTTTTGTTTCCAACATGAGCTTATTTCATTACCAACAGTTCATAAAAAGCTAGGCATTGCCTCATTTTTCTGAAGGACATAGTGGAGAGGGGAGGAGTAGCTATAAGACAGGAGAAAGAGATAGATGGTCTAAGGGAGTATTTTGCCCCAGCACAGTGCAGTGGCTTGGGATCCAATAGGACACTCTCTTAAATACCCAATTCCAAATAAGCCAATCTGACCAAAAAGAAATAATGTTTTACCTGTGAAAGACCATCTTTGCACAGTGGACATTTCGCATTGTGGTCTAGGCATCTCTCAAGACATTTCAAACAAAATGTGTGTCCACACGGTGTTGTGACTGGCTCATAGAATAATCTGAAATTTAGAAATAAAAATGGAAGAAAACTGCAATCAGACAAAAAAAAGACAGGGCTACTGAACATTAAGCTTTTATAGTGTTATTTGGAAAATTCTGTATATTGGGGTAAGGTGTGTGGGGTTTTTTGTTTTGTTTTGTTTTTGTCCATGCTGTTTTTGAACTTCAAAAAGCAATTTGCTTTTTATTTCTGAGCTGAATTGTAAAGTAATGCATTTACTAAAGTTTAGGACATAATTAGATCATTTTGTAACATTAGTTCTAGCCAATCTCTTCTGGGGCATCCATATTGTTTTCACTGTCCAGAGATAAATACCCAGAGTGTCTGCATAAATTCTATTCTAAAACATTTAGCCAACCTATCCATCTGAGTGTATGTAAACACACAGAGATAAATACACATTAATACCTTAACCCATTTCAGTACTTCATATCACATTACAATGGAAAAACGACTTGGCTTCTTTGTTAACCTTTATTCTATTTTTCACCTAAGCAATGTCTGTTCCCTGAGGAATCTTGAAATTGCACCTGTAACAAACATATAACTGCCTTTTTATATGGATGATTCATTTTCCTAGGGGTGGTAGAGTATTATTGTTAACTAGAGGCCTGGTGCACAAAATTTGTGCACGGTAGGGGGGGGGTGTCCCTCAGCCAGGCCTGCACCCTCTCCAATCTGGGACATCCCTCACACAATCCAGGATTGCTGGCTCCCAACTGCTCGCCTGCCTGCCCTCCTGATTGCCCCTAACCACTCACCTGCCAGCCTGATTGATGCCTAACTGCCCCCCTACCAGTCTGTTTGCCCCTAACTGCCCTCCACTGCAGGCCTGGTCACCCCCAACTGTGCTCCCCTGCAGGCCTGGGTCCCTCCCAACTGCCCTTCCCTGCAGGCCTGGTTGCCCCCAACTTCCCTCCTCTGCCAGCCTGATCATCCCTAACTGCCCTCCCCTGCAGGCTTTATCACCCCCAACTGCCCTCCCTTGCAGGCCTTGTCCCTCCTAACTGCCCTCCGCTACTGGCCTAATCACCACAACTGTCCTCCCTTGCAGGCCTGGTCCCTTCCAACTGCCCTCCCCTGCTGGCCATCTTGTGGAGGCCATCTTGTGTCCACATGGGGGCAGCCATCTTGTGTGTTGGAGTGACAGTCAATCTGCATATTACTCTTTTATTAGATAGGATAGAGGCCTGGTGCATGGGTGGGGGCCAGCTGGTTTGCCCTGAAGGGTGTCCCAGATCAGGATGGGGGTTCCCTTGGGGCATGGGGTGGCCTGGGCAAGGGACCTATGGTGGTTTGCAGGCTGGCCACACCCCCTGGAGACCCAAGTGGAGGCTCTCGTACCAGGGGCTTATTTACCTTCTATAATTGAAACTTTGTAGCCTGGAGTGGAGCCAAGCCTTCTGTTTGCTCCATGATGGTAGCCATTTCTGTTGGGATTTATGTATCTTCTATCATTGAAACTTTATAACCTTGAGTGGAGGCCTAGGCTGGCAAGGGCAGGTGGAAAGCTTGGCTTCCTCCATTGCCGGAGAAAACCCAGGCCTCCCTCCTGCTCTCTGTAGCCATAGCCATCTTGGTTGGGTTTATTTGCATATTTGCTCCTGATTGGCTGGTGGGCATGGCTTGTGGGTGTAGTGGAGTGATGGTTAATTTGCATATTACTCTTTTATTAGATAGGATATGCTTACTAATAGATACATACATATGTACATATATACATATGCATGCGCATACACTTCAATTAAGTCCTATTTTAATTATTTTGGGAGGCTCTTTTTTTAAAAGGAAATTTCAAAATATGTTTTATTTTTTATTTTAGAGAGAGGGAGAGAGAAACATTGATGATGGAGAACCTCTGATCCATTGCTTTCTGCATGCCCCCTACTGAGGATTAATCAAGCCTGAAACCTGGACACGTGCCCTGACCAGAATCCAATGCAGTGAGCTCTGGGTGCATGAGATGATGCTCAACCAACTAAGCCCACCGGCCAGGGCTGGTCTTTTTAAAAACTATTTTGTACATTGAGAGATTCATGAATTTACTTTGCTTAAAGAAAGGCAGAACCACTGGGTTGGGGCAGCTAAAAATGATGGTTCAGAAGTGGGGCTCCCACTCACAAGAGGACAAAAGGAACAGAAAGATCCTGACCAGACTATTTTGACCTTACAAGTATGTCAGTAGAGAGAAAGAGGCGGCCAACTGCACAGCCCCCTCGTGTGGCCATGGCTGGGAAGTGCATCAGCTACCAGGTCAGAAAATAATATCAACAACCTACCAACCCTAAAACAATTATTGATTATTCAAGTAGAACAGAACATGTTTCTCTTAAGTTAGATACCAATTACTGCAATTTAAAAAATCTATCAATAGCATAAACAAAAATCTATCACACAGCACTAAAAAAGATCAAACGCACTAAAAAGTTAAACTGTATGTAAAAAAAATTAGAGCTAAGGCAAATTTGATGTATATATCTTATTTTCTAACAATTATGCAGAAGTGCTCAAGTAACATTTCATTGTGCATTTAATAATGACACATCTTTCTAATGAACAAAATTTCTAACCCTGGGTTTCAATATAGTATAACCACTATTTTTCAAGTATGTGAGGGGGAAAAATTAAACCCACAAAACAGAATAAAACAGATCTAGGAGGGATTCGGTCACTTATCAACATGTACAGAGCCAACTGTTTGGCAGATGAAAGGCTCTCCAACTTCTACTTCCAGTTGTGTGCTCTTTCTATTAGAACAGTGATTCTCAATCGTTGCTGTGCATGAGAATCACCTGGGGAGCTTTTTCTTTAAACAGCTTTACTGAGGTATAATTGACATGCAACAAATTGCACACACTTAAACTGTACAGTCAGATAAGTTGTAACATCTGTACACACCTATAAAAACATTTCCACAATCAAATTGTGAATATACCCATTACCCCCAAACATCTCTTCATTCCCCTTTCTAAACTCTTCCTCCTGCTCCTCCCCACACCGTCCATTACCTGAGGGACTTTAAAAAACTACATATGTCTGGCACCACACCTGCAGAGATTCAGGTCAATTGTTTCAGGGTAAGGGCCAAGCATCAAGACTTTTTAAAGATCCTCAGGTGGTTTTAATGTGCATCTAGGGTTGAGAATCACTGCATTACACACTCCTACTAATCTCTGCTGAGTTGTATATTCTATATTAGTCTCAGGACCTCATTGTCAATATCACCTGTGGAGCTTTAAAAATATAGACATGTCAAGCCTCGCAGGGTAAAGTTTATCATTAAGCAGGTCAAGGGGAGGGGCAGAGGTTTGATTTTTTAAAAAATACTCACCTGAGAATATTTTATCATTGATTTTTAGAGCAAGTGGAAGAGAAGGGAAAGACGGAGAGAAACATCAATGTGAGAGAAACACATCAATTGGATGCCTCCTGCACACGCCCCGAACAGGGCCCAGGAAGGGGCTGAGCCCTCAACCGAGGTATGTACCCTTAACCAGAATCAAACCCAGGACCCTTCAGTCTGCAGGCCAAAATTCTTTCCACTGAGCCAAACTGGCTAAAGATTTTTATTTTTTTAATATTTTTTTCCTTTAAAAATTTTAAATAAATTGTGAGAGATTCATACAAAGGGACACTATATGTACACTAATTAGAACGAACAAGCTCTACCTACCTGCAGTAACATGGATAATTCATTTTTTAAAAATATATTTTATTGATTTTTCACAGAGAGGAAGGGAGAGGGATAGATAGTTAGAAACATTGATGAGAGAGAATAATCGACCAGCTGCCTCCTGCACGCCCCCTACCATGTGCCCAAAACCAATGTACATGCCCTTGACCAGAATCGAACCCGGGACCTTTTGGTCCACAGACCGACGCTCTATCCACTGAGCCAAACCGGTTTCGGCAACATGGATAATTCTTAATACTGAGGTAAAGAAGCCAGAACAAAAGAATATATTTTGAATAATTCCATTTATAAAAAGGTTTAAAAAAAAACAAAACAAAAAAACAGGCAAAACTAAATTAGACTCTTTAGAGATGCATACATAGTGGTAAAATCATTTTTTTTTAAAGAAGAGATAAAAGTTAAGAGTGTTTTCAGGAGGAGGAAGTTGTGATTTGGAAGTGACATCTGTGGTTCTGACACTGTTTTATTTCCTGAACTGAGAGGGGTTGCATGAGTATCATCTTTACAATATATTTTTTAAAATATATTTTATTGATTTTTTAGAGAGGAAGGGAGAGAGATAGAGAGCTAGAAACATCGATGAGAGAGAAACATCGACCAGCTGCCTTCTGCACACCCCACACTGGGGATGTGCCCGCAACCAACGTACATGCCCGTGACCGGAATCGAACCTGGGACCTTTCAGTCTGCAGACCGACGCTCTACCACTGAGCCAAACCAGTTTTGGCATCTTTACAATATTTTATTAAGAGAATGCATTTAACCTGGAGAGCATTATGTTAAGTGAAATAAGCCAGGCAATGAAAGAAAAATACCATGTGATCTCACTCATTTGTGGAAAACAAGAAACATTATAACCTGATGAACAAAAGGATAGATACAAAGGCAGTAAAGAACCAAACAGACTGTGGAATTACAGTGGGAAGGCTGGGGAGTGTTGGGGAGGGGGAGAAAGAGATCAACTGAAGGACTTGTATGCATGCCTATAAGCACAACCAATGGACACAAGACACTGGGTGGGTGGGATGAGGGCATGTGACAGGGGGTAAGGGAGGCTGGGGGAAGGTAAATGGAGGGAAAAAGGAGATATATGTATTACTATATGTAGTACTTTAAATAATAAAAAAGAGAATACATTTATATTTTTATGTACTTTTCCACTGTGTAAATTTCACAATTAAAATGTTTTTCAAAAGTGTGATTTGCAGTCTGATAGGGGAACCATGATTAATTCTAACTACTAGAACACTTAAACCAGAATTCTCATTTCCTCAGTAATGTGAGTCTCATGAAGCTAAATGCTTTTTTGTACATCCTATCTAATAAAGAGGAAATATGCTAATTGACCTCCACACCCTCACAAATATGGCAGTGCCCACAGCCAATAAGGAGGGTATAGGCTAATTGACTGTAAGGCCCTCAAAGATGATGGTGCCCACAGCCACAAGATGGTGGTGCCCAGTCCTCAGCCCCGCTGAGGTGACAGGCACATGGCCGAGCCTGTCCCTAGGTGGGTCCAGCTACTCTATGCACCTGCCTCCAGGGTCCCCCAATCCCCTCAGCCCCTCAGGGCCAGCTTGAAGCATAGGCAAGCCTTGGATGGCAGCTGCCCAGCTGCCCAGGGCTACTCAAGGAGCAGGTAACCAGGGCCGTGACAGGCTTGCACTGCCAGCAGTGGCAGCAGCAGAGGTGTGATGGGGGCATCGCCTTCCCCTGATTGCCAGGTCACCTCCTGCCCCTGAGAGCTCCCAGACTATGAGAAGGGCTAGGCCAGGCTGAGGGATCCCCACCTCCAGTTCATGAATTTTCATGCACCAGGCCTCTAGTTATTCAATAACACTAATGATGAAGATGATGGATAAATCTGCTTCTGCAGAACTATTTTTACAGATAACTTCAAAAGTGGGCCTTTAGTTCATTTAACAATGTAATCCACATAAAATAATAATGATATAGCTGGTCAATTAATTGCAATAAGTTGGGCAATAGGAGATACCTGTAATACTATCAACAATAAAAATATATTTTAAAAATTAATTGCAATTAATACTGACATTTAATGAGCAGATGAGTAAAACAGACACAAAAGAATACAGCAACTCTTTGTAAGGGCTATGATTAAAATACCTCTAATCTGAGTGGTCACAAACAAAAATGCTGCCACAGATTATGCATAATTACTGGTTTGAAATAATTCAAGGTTCAAATGATTAGAATATATCACATTTCAAAACTCAATTCACTTCAATATTCAGGGTGACTTTTCTACAAAAGCTAACTGAGTGATGTGATTAGGAACAGATGGAATATATTTCTCTTGCTATTCTAGTGTATGTAATACTGTTTTCCACATAAATTAAGTTTGTATATTAATAGGTGGTAAATATGATTAGCTTCATTTTACTACTGAAGAAATTAAGAACCAGACAGGTTAAACAACTTATCTATGGTTCAACAGCTAGCTTGGGCTTGGATGTGAAGTCATATCTGATTTCCAAGCCCGTGTTCTTTTTCCACTATATGACATGGCCAAGACTGTGTATACCTCTATACCTAGAACAGAAATCATCCATGTACTTTTAGAAGCACACATTCACACATACACACTTCTCTCTCTCTTTCTGTCTCTCTTCCTCTTTTCTCCCTTCATGGGAGGGGTGGGAGAGAGAAAGAAATAGAGAACTGTAGATGCTAGCTAGCTAGCTAGCTAGGTAGATAGAGCTAGATATAGAGATATACTTGGATTCCTTTCCCTTTTATTTATAACTTTTTTAAAAGTCCTCACCCCAGGACATGCTCTTATTGGAGAGAGAGAGAGAGAGAGAGAGAGAGAGAGAGAGAGAGAGAGAGAGAGAGAGAGAGAGAGAGAGAAATATTAGTGTGAGAGTGAAACATTGATCAGTTGCCTCCTGAACAATCCCAGACCAGGATTGAACCTGCAGTCTGGGTATGTGCCCTGACCAGGAATTTAACCCGAGACCTTTCGGTGTACATAATTATGAACCAATTATCTGAGCCACACCGGCCAGGGCTATTTACCACTTTTGATAATGATTTCAGAAAACACTTCAGGGAGATATTTATAAATCAGAGTAGGGCCAGATTTTTTAGCAAGAAAGCATTATCCATTGTCATATGAGGGATTAAGCAATAGTAATAATAAATGTTTTCAGTTAGATTTCAGCCTAGATAAAATGTTTGGCTTATTTGAAAATAGCTATCTTTTCCAACCAGTTACATCCTTTTAATGTGTTCTTTTGCTGCTATCAACTTGAGACCAAAGGGGAATCCGAGAAGGAGGGGAGAGATAGAGAAAGGGAAAGAAAAAGTAAAAGAATAGAATAAGAATAAGAATAAGAATAAGAATAGAATAGAATAGAATAGAATAGAATAGAATAGAATAAACTGGCTCCCTAACACCCAGGTAGTTGAGTAGTTAAATCTAGGTTAAATATAAAGCTTTATGTTTCAATTGATAAAGAGGTCACGAGGCCATTAGGTAACTGGTTCAAACATCAAACTTTCTTGCTCCACATCTCAAAATATCTTGTCACCCCAAAGGTGCTTCTGCACAGCAGCCCCAGAGGTGGCCCCAAAGGCTAGAATATCCATATCAGGCAAATCTCAAGGAAGGATTTTCAGTTACTAAAAATTGAGGGGCAGAGTTCTGAGATGTTGGAATTAGGAAGAAACCTCAATCAGCAGAGCTCCCCCAATCCAGCAAGGGAGACTTGGAGCCTGAAAAGGTCCTCATGAATGCAGCTGCCAATTATTGTTCCATTCAGTCTTTCCACCCCTTCCCATGAAATTTACAAACTGCTCCTCATTTTCTCCCTAGAATTGGAATAGATAAATTTGCACTCGAATTTGTCTTCTGCCAATGTAACACCACAGCACTGGAGTTCATTCTAGAAACTCATATAGGAGATACAAATGTCTAGTTTATGACCTGTCAGATTGTTTAAAAATAACTGTACCCAAAAGACACATGAGGGTCATAAAAGAACCTAATAATAATCCTAACAATAAAAAGAAGAAAAACACTAAAGAGAAGTGAAAACAGGAACTTTCTCAAGACTACAATAACTTACCCGGTTGGTGTGGCTCAGTGGTTGAGCATTACCTATGAACCAGGAGGTCATGGTTTGATTCCTATCATGGCATATGCCTGGGTTGCACGCTAAATCCCCAGTGGGATTTCCCAGTGCAGGAGGCAGCCGATCCATTATTCTCTCTCATCATTGATGTTTCCACACAGATTATGATTGTACCAGCTTCCCTTTTTGTGTGGGGTTTGGGAGGAAGCATGTGGATGATTTGCCTCTCCAGAGATCTGAGAAAGTAGGAATAATAAGGCACTGGGTGAAGGAAAGATGCTTGGCCGAGTAGTACAGACCCACTACTAATCCTCTTCATGGCACAAAACAAACTCTAGGCAGGTCCTCTACTTTGCTTCCATAGACTAGACCTATGGCACTGACATTAGCCCTTGAGTTTTGAGATCTTGATCCAGTAGTTGACATTAGTCCCAGAATCTAAAACCTAGATATCTATAAAGGCCAGGAAAGTGATGCAAATGTGAGATGCAGGCTAATGTAAGACAGTGAGCAGGGGAGGGACCATGACTAACTGGAAAGTGTATATCCTGTCTCAATACATTCAAATTTAGATAACAAAAATCCCGTGAGGACCAAACACAAGAAATTCAGCCTGTGGGCTACAGTTTGTGACCTCTGAGTAGACAGTTTCCTTCCCACTGTCCAAGTATTTCCAAGTCAGAAATATAAGGAATGCAATCTGTAAACAAGAGACACCAGCTAGCCTGTGTGACAGGCTGTGTTAAGGTAATTTCCATTCCACTATAGCCATGTTTTTATGTGCTGGTCAATGAAGCAGTAGGTCACTAGAAGAAAGATCCACACACCAGAGAGCAAAGGAAGACCCCTCAGGCAGTAAATGACAACACACATCACATACCTCATACATAGGGCACATTCAAGGTCGGTTGCATCAAAAGATGGGAGTGGAATACTGACAGCAGGCAGGTCCTCCAAATCAGCAGGAGGTTCTGTGATTTAGAAAACAGTAAGTCAGAGCTGGACCAACCTTGGTTTCACAGACAGAACTTGTGAGGCAAAACACACACACACACACACACACACACACACACACACACCAATTATTTCTCTTCCGGGGGGGTTGATTTATTGGCCACTTGACCCACTGAGAATGGGATGCCCTGAAGTAGACTCTTGAGATGTCTAGAAGCCCCACAGAAAGAGAAGTGCAAGTCAGGGAATATCCAGAAGCCCGGTGGACTTCATTCAAATGCATCAGACACCTCATGCAGCAGGAGCAGCAGTGACAACTCCATGGACTGAGCCAGGCCTTCAAAGCTGATAGTGACTCTTGGCACTGCCCACTTCTCTTGGAAAGCTATTGGGCTGCAGCTGCTGCTTCTCAGATGCCTGCCTACAGAAACACATCTGGGAATGAGCACAGTGTGGCCTGATCGCACAGTTCTGGTCTTCTGTTCCTGGAATAGGCATGGGGGTAGGGAGAGGTTGGCCTGGCAGGAAGTGACACCATTAAGGGCATTGGATATCATTACTTGAGTCTGTGCTTGACCTTATGCCTTGGCTTTCCATTATAATTATTCTTGAGCACTGGCAGTACGCTGGGAACTATGCATGCTCTCACAGAAACTTCGCAGCAATCCTGAGGTGCCACAGCCAAGTTCCAGAGCTGGGCCACACACTCAGAGCCTAAAGAACCCTCATATGGACAGCAAGTAACCTTCTTATACTGGGGAGCCCAGCATCTCCTCCAAGGCCCTTTAGCCCTGGGTAGAGTCAGTACCTGGCTTAAAGACTTTAGTAGGAACGTCTGGGTCTTTGGGTTCAACTTGAAAATGTTTCCTTTTCCTTTCCTGGCTTTTGCTAGTCTGTCTGGATGCAGCTTCTGGAGAGGCAGGGTACCCCTTTTCGTCCTCTTCTTCCTGGTTTTTCGTGATGCCTTGCTGCCCATGCCCCTTTACTTCCGCAGGATTCATCTGGATGTTGCAGTCCCCACTGGCTGCTCCTTCCTCCTGTCTAGAACAATGGGGGAGTTCCTCATTTTCCTGGTGGAATAAAGAGCCAAAAGTCAGAATTTACTAGGGATCAATACTGTCCTCTGATATTCCCACCACAGGAGACAGAGAAAACTTCACAGTCCTGAATGGACACATGGCTTAATGGGAAAGGGGCAGTCAAAAGGCATATTTCCCACTTCTGTCCACACAGCATCAGTGACAAAGGCATGCCTAGCTTAGGCAGAGTTGGGGGACTTGCCTAGGCAAGGACAGAAAGGCATGTAGGGGAGAGATTCCTTGGGTAATGGTGAAGGTGAGAAATGTAAGATGTAGCACCAGTCCCCTCTCCTATCCAGATCATTTCCCAGTTATTACATTAGGGAAACCAAGGCATGCAGAGAGGGTAGATCATGTCACTCAGTGCTTCCTCTCACGCTATAGCACAGCTCCACAAGGACTTTTGGGAAGGCTCTAAAACAGGCGTGTCACAGACTTGCAGTTACCGCATGCTCCAGCTATGGGTTATGCTGCTCAAATGAACTAGGGTCCAACTATTTTCTTCACTAGACTTTGGGGGGAATGCTGAAAGAGAGGCAAATCATTTGGCAAAATGATCAATAATGTCTCTAGTCTTTTAAAGAATATTTGTCCAGGGTTACCCATTTTGGGAAAACTCTCCAGGCGTGAGTTTGTATACACTTGCAATAAGTTCCCACACCTCTGCTTAAAAAAGGAAAGAAAAGAATGTTTGTCCAGGAGAGGAATACTTAAAAATGGACCTAGAAATAAGTCCAATAATACCTTGAGAATCCCTCTCTATTGTAAACCCATAGTCTACAGGTCAAAACGTCCATGTTCTTGTTTCCCCTCCAATCCGTACCAAAAACATTGGTAGATAGATGAAAAATGAGAGCTACAGAGCTGGGAGAAAACAATGAGGTAAAGAGAAAAGATGTGGGCTTTCTCAGTATCCAACCTGGGGAGTTGAGAGTTATTTAATTGTGTCCTTAACTTTCCATGAGCCCCAGGCATTGCCTACACAGGAGTACACTGGTTTGCAAAGCCAAGTCTGGGTGGAAACCCCATCCCTGTTCCACAGCTGACTCTCACTGGAAAGCCAGGGATGCTCTTTTTTCTTCAGTTTGGAATGAGGAGCAATTAGAAGCCACTCCAGGCACTTAAGTTCAGTGTTAGTGTTCTCAATCATGTAATCATGACCTCAAACAATTATTGAAATGCACTAGGGCAGTGGTCGGCAAACCAAGGCTCAGAGCCACATGCAGCTCTTTGGCCCCTTGAGTGTGGCTCTTCCACAAAATACCATGTGCGGGTGAGCACGTACAGTGCAATTGAAACTTCGTGGCCCATGTGCAAAAGTCGGTTTTCAGCCTGGGCAAGTCTATTTTGAAGAAGTAATTCTAATGCTGAGTCACACTTACAGGGCCAAGAACCGCATGTGGCTTGTGAGCCACAGTTTGCCGACCACTGCACTAGCGGTTCTCTGATTTCAGGAGATGCTCTTTAAGTTCTGCCTCCATCTCCTCCTATTTTTTTTTACTTGGACACACCTGCATTTTATTCCTTCTCTTGAACAGGAAGAGAAAAAGGGAAATGTAAGATTTCCACCTGCCAGAGAATCTAAGAAGCCACGGAGAACCCAGGACTTACATACAGGGAAGAACACAGAGCACAAATGCAGTGGGGACTGCAGCCCCAAGGGGCTGAGGCAGTCAGCACTAAACTCTGCCTTCAGGGATGGATTTCTGAACCCCAGCTGCTGCGCACTTGCCTTCGAATTGGAAAGCCAGGGTCTGGAACCCATCTCTCCGTCATTCTGTTCCCTTGTTTTCAAAGAAAGGCACATATACCTTCCTCCAAGGACCTTAACCCTTCTCAAATCACTTCCCTCTTCTCAGCCTCCAATATGTACCAGAAATCTACTTATGTGTAAGACATGGTACAGGAAATTACCTCCACTTGGGGATCAAATGAGAGTTCTCTTTACACAAGGAACTCAGCTGGTGCTCAAAAGGCAACAGCTTGAACAAACAAAAAGCAGGAAATGAGGGTCTTTATCAACCCAGGCTCCACCCCTAGGCTGATAAAGCCACCTCATTGAATGGCTCCAGTGGAAGTTGACCAATTCCTTTCTAGTTCTATCAAATCTCTCTCATCTGGATTTAACCAAGAACTGAAAAATGAATGTAACAAATCATAAACCCTGGGACCATGCCTGAAATTCAGTTTTTATCATTAAAAACTAACCTTCTGCCCAACCAGCATGGCTCAGTGGTTGAGCATCAACCTGTGAAACAGGAGGTCACAGTTCCATTCTGGGTCAGGGCACATGCCGGGTTTCAGGTTCAATCCTCAGTGTGGGGCATGCAGGAGACAGCTGATAAGTAATTCTCTCTCATCACTGATATTTCTCTGTCTCTCGCCCTCTCCCTTCCTCTCTGAAATCAATAAAAATATTTTTTTAAAAGAAGAAGAAATAACCTTCCAGCAAAGAGCATAACCAGTCCATTTCTTATTTCTCAGGAACCGAAGTAAGAGAGGTAGGGCTCACTCCCCAGGTTTGCCCACAAAACAGCCAAACGAAGCGTCACAAACGAGCTGGGTGAATTGAGTTTTACCTGTGACAACTTTGGTAGATTATGGCTGTTGCCTTCAGTAGCCATTGACTCTACTTGTTCCTTTAATCTAAGCTGAGGTGCCAACAGCTTCAGGATATCGGGAGAATGTTCCTGAGACTCCCCCGGGACTGATGGTGAAAAGAAACTAAGGAGAAGCTGTGATATAAAACAGAAGACTTCACTACTTAAGTTCTACAGGTACTCAGGTGAAGGGAGAAGGGGAGAGGGCAAAGGTTGCAAGGCAAAACCCTAGGGATGGAGCCTTGGACCAGATAGACCAGGGCAGACTTCACTTCACCAAATCACCCAGGAGCTTATTTAAAAGTCCAGGTTCCAAGTTACCATGCCTGGATCCCCAGATCTGAAGTGTGGTCCAGGAGTCTGCATTCTGAAAAGGCATCCCAGATGCCTCTGGGACCCTGGTCAAACTTAAAAGGCTATCACTGCAGTGCTATCTTCCCATAGAAATATCTGCAGTAGGATTAAAAAACATGTGTAGGAGAAAAGAGTCAAAGAGGTGAAGGCAGGAGACAAAAACATCAGCTGGGGGACCTAGAGCCATGTCCACAACACCCCAGTGGGTAGAAGTCTACACTTGTCTTTTAGGTTCTGATATTTCTTTCCTCTACCTACCCATTTTGCTCCCTCTTTCCCCAGCCATCATCCCTGGGCTTTTATCCTTTCTGCACTGAAGTGTTAGAAAAAGCACTTCTCTCTTTTCCCAACCTCTCCTCCCCCATTCTGATCTTCACTTTCCAGAGAAAGTCAAGGAACTTCAAGTACTAATACTGGGGCAGACTGGTTCCAGTGTATGGCCGGTTCCTTTGCAATTGCATAAGCCCATTGAGTGAGAAGATCCAGAAGGGATTGGACTCAACAATGGGTGCCCACATTCTTGCCTCAATGTGCCAGCAGGGATTGTGACTCCATGTGTGTATAACACAGGACAGGTCATCTGGCTTCCAAAACACACTCAAATTTTTCCACCCAGAGCCCCCTACAATGTTTGGAGACCCACTAAAGGATGCTCCACCCCATTGCTCAGTCAGGGTATTAATTAATCAAGAGAGCCTAACAGGAACTCTGACCAAACTCTCCAGTTTGATTTGCTCCCTTGCTGTCTACTCCCCGCCCCCGAATTCCTTCATGATGTTTCTTCAGATAACCAACTCTGCTTGGCCTTCAAGGCTCAGCTTCAGGGCTGCATTCCCCTACTACTCCAGTCTCCGTGATGCCACTTATCCTTTCATGTTCTCCACTGTACCATAATACAGCATCTTACATGACACAGTCTTGTGTTAGCCTCAAATTGTACCGTAGACGTAAGTCTTTCTCTCTAACCAAACGACCAGCTTCTGGAGAGCACAGGTCAGGTGTCCAACAGATACTCATCATACTAGATGGAGTTCAATTAGCTCACTTATCCATCCCAGGGCCCAGGGAGAGGCCTTGGGTTCAGGCCCAACATCCTCAGACATCCCTGTTTTCCTTCTATTTCTGGGGAACCCACTTCCCAGATCTAAGTTGGGAAAAGAATGAAGTAGAAAGGCATTCACAGTGCCTAGAGTAGGGGTGTCGAACTCAATCAGAGAAGGGGCCAAAATCTAAAATCCAGCCTAAATCTCGGGCCGAATGGTTTACTGAACAGTCATAAACTGTCATTGTGATGGAAATGCAGCGGAGTGCAGTGATGACAGTGCGATGCGGGCCACATTGCAAGGCCTGGCGGGACGGACTTGGCCCGCGGGCCTTGTGTTTGACACATGTGGCCTAGAGTCATAAATGCCAGTTTTCAGAGCCCTCTACTCCACAGAAGCCAAACCTGGCTCTCAGAAGCCCTCCTGAGTGACCCAGCAGGACCAACCCATTTCTGAAGCAATCTCCCTTACATTCTCCCCAAAACAGCGTGATGTTCTTCAATAGTCGCCACATAGCACTAAAATGTGAGGGTAAACGTGCAGAGTGTGGTGCGAGGGAGCAGAGGCAGAAAGGAGAAATGGAAGGAAACAAGGCAGAAACAACAGCAGCTCTTCACTTCTCCCCTTTACTTCTTCAAATTCCAGGTGCCTGGCTTGGGTCACCAGGGGGTGTGGCCAGCCTACAAACTACCACAGGTCCCTTGCCCAGGCCACCCCACACCCCAAGGGAACTCTCACCCTGATCCGGGACACCCTTCAGGGCAAACCAGCCAGCCCCTACCCGTGCACCAGGCCTCTATCCTATCTAATAAAAGAGTAATATGCAGATTGACCATTATTCCAACACACAAGATGGCTGCCCCTATGTGGTCAAAGATTCTGCCCCCATGTGGACACAAGATGGCCACTACAAGATGACCAGCTGGGGAGGGCAGTTGGGAGGGGCCAGGCCTGCAAGGGAGGCCAGTTGGGGTGATTAACCCTGCAGGGGAGGGAAGTTAGGGGTGACCAGGCTGGCAGAGGAGAGAAGTTGGGGGCAAACAGGCTGGCAGGGAAGCAGTTAGACATCAATCAGGCTGGCATGGGAGTGGTTAGGGGGTGATCAGGCTGGCAGGCAGAAGCAGTTAGGGGCAGTCAGGAAGGCAGGCAGGAGAGCAGTTAGGAGCCAGCATTCCTATATTGTGAGAGGGATGTCCCAGATTGGAGAGGGTGCAGGCTGGGCTGAGGGATACCACCTACCCCTCCCCCTGTGCACGAATTTCGTGCACTGGGCCTCTAAAATATATACAGTCACCAAGCCTCAGCATCCTCATCCATCTCATCTGTAACATGGGGATAAATAACAGCACCTACCCCCATAGAGATGTTGTGGGGATTAAATCATATCTTCCACAGAGAGCCCTAGTTCAGTGCCTGGTGTGCATAGGATGTGCTCAATAAATGTGAGGTGCTATTATTGTTGTTGTTGTTATTATTATCCACATCATGGACTGCACTTAAGATTTGGAGGATCCACCAGTGCTTCTCTCAAGAACACCTTGTCCACTTCCCAAACCATTGAACTCCCCCCCAAAAAAATCTGTCAGAGGCAGAACCTCCAGAGCTCCACTTCCTCTAGTTCATTGATTTTTTTTAACCATTTGTTTCTGGAGCCTTCAGCAACCAGTCCTGTCTCTTGCTCTCTTTCTTCATCACTGCTCTGCCAAACCACAATGGAACAGAAGTACTTGCATTGTGGTGGTGAATTGGCGGCTGGGCACAAGGCGAGAACAGAGGCCACCACTGAATGTCCAACTTCAGGCCAATTAGCCAGGCACGCTGAGAACACATTGCAGAAGAGTAAGCAACAAAGTCCAGGGAATGAGGATGCTTAAGCCTTTGCTAATACTCTCAGTATTTCATGCAGTTTTTAAAAATAACCACATTCTCCTGGGACTCAAGAGTTGGAATGTTTGTTTGGATTATACTGTAATGGTCTCTGACTTACATTTGTGAGACAGTGTATGTATTTTATCTCTAGCAAAGGAGGTGAAGGTTGGAGTTTTACATATGGCAAGTGAGATGGGGGTCAGCATCCTTTATGAGGAGCTGGCTTCCCCGTGTGGCTGATGAAGCTGTGACTTGGTCAAAATGAAGTCTACAGCTGTAGGCAGCCTCACACTCCGACCTCTTATCAACAGCCAGAATCTCCTCAGTGAGCTTCCATCCCCATTTTATCTTGTTTGCATTCATTTTTGTCTTGTGTCTTTTCCTCATTGACAACCCAGACCCTGAGTGAAAGAAACAAGAACATTCCTCATAGGCTCCTACAGAAATGTAGCAACTGCTCAATCTAATTGTACACCCCAAGAGGACGGTGACTTGGGGCAATTAGAACTTGTGTCTCCCTCTTGTCCCCTTAACCCAGGGAGCCATGCACTCAAGAATCCAAATGCCCTGGAAGATAGTTCCTTCACTCTCCTCCCTGGAGAAGACAGTGAGGTGGGAACCCATTGGGCATCTGGACCTGATGTCATCTCAACTCACCCTTTGGGCTTCAGATCTTGCTCTCCTGTTCTTTCCATCCAGTGAAACGCAGTATAGAAACTCTCTTAGTGCTTCCTCCACCTTGCCTAGGGTGGCCAATGCTTGCGCCTTTCTGAAGTGTGCCTGGAAGAAAACGTTAGCATTCAATCCCACTCTTATTCACCCTCCTGACACTATTCTTCTTAACAATTATTAACTTCATGAGTATTCTCTACTGCCTGAATCATTTCCAAGGATTATCTTATGCACAGCCCTATCATGCAGGCAACTACGACAAACCCTGCTAAGTAAGAACTTTGAATATCTCCATTTTATAGATGAGAATATAAGGCACGGAAAGGCTAAGTAATTTGCCCAATGTCACACAGATGATAAAAATAGAAGAGCTGGGACATAAACTCAGGCAGTCAGGCTCTCAATTCTATATTCTAGAGTCACAGAGCCCAGGCTGCTTGCTATGCAGGTCATCAATGTAGAATCAAATTGCGGAAGAATCCAGTTCCCTTTGTCAAGGGGGACTGGCAACTTTGCAAAGCCTTCTCCCAGGTTTGGTTGAACTCTAATGTCCCATACCCCAAGGGTGGCAGCTCTTCTGGCCATTTCCTTTTAATGCATAACCCCTTCCCATCCCACACTCACCTTAAAGCCCATTGGGCGGAGCTTACATGCTATTTCTGCATCATGCAGTGCATCCTCATGCGACTCCAAGGTGAAATAAATTTGTGACCGGTTACTATAAAGTAAATGGTCATTTGGTGCTGCCACAATGAGAGAGAGAGAAAAAAAACCCCTCATTAATGGCCCCCAGAAGAAACATGCAAATCCTGTATGAGGATGGGTCTTACGCAGATGGCAAGTTTTCTAGGACTTTTCCCCTGGGGACCCAAAGGGTCATGCTCAATTTCTAGCCCTAATGTTGTCCTGCCAACCACATTCCCCTGCAGCCACTATGGGTCTGAGATGCCCCAGCTGTAAAGAAGGGATTTCCCCCCCTCTATTAAGCAGATCCCTAGGGGGCCTGTGGTGTCAGGGGTGCTTCAGTGACTTTGACATGGAGAAAACTTTTGCATGGGGCTATACGGGGCTAGCTATATTGGACTAGTAACTGACAGCCTGGCTTCTGAGTGAGGTATCACCAACAAGGAAACAGGCCAGGAAGTGGAGAGTGGGAGCTGGCTAGATGTGACCCCCATCATGCTTACCTGCTGGTCAAACTCCTGGTTGAGGGGAGAATTTGCATATTAGCCTTTTATTACATAAGATATACACTGAGTGGCCAGATTATGCATTCAGAGATCATAATAATCTGGCCACTCAGTGTAGATGGTCAAATGTGAATGAACCTGGACAAAGCTTCAGAGAATAAATTGAGATTGGCTCTCAACAACACTCTGAATCACTACATGTCAGGGCTGGGCAAGCCTTTTAGAAATCATCTAGTTCAATCAACCGATTCTTCAGTTGAGGAAAATCAAGCCCAGGGAGGGAAAATCAAGCCCAGGGAGGGAAAGGCATCTTCTGAAAGTCACACAGATAGCTAGTCAGACTTGTTAACTGTCCAAACTTTTCATCTGGAGTGAGGGGGCAGGTTTCTTTTTTTCTGAAGGGTGGTCAGTATTTAGAACGATGAAGAGAGAATGGCCATCTTTCAGTACAAATATACAAATATATTCTTTGTTGGAGAGGTCCCTTTCCTCCTAGAAGGGTGAAGTGGTCTAGACATTTTCACCCTGACTGCTCTGACCATTCAAAAAAAAAAAAAACAAGAAAAAAAGAAAAAGAAAAAAAAAAAACAGAAAAAACTGGTCCTTGTCTGCTGGAAGGAATGGACCCTCTCTTGGAGCTTAAGTGGCCTCCACCTGTCTCCTTCATATTGCCCTTCTCTTCCCCCGGGGACCAGACTCCAACTTCTGTTCGGGAACAGGTTTTGTTGGTTTGTCCCTCAGGGGTGTGCTGAGGGTTTGTGTGGGTGCCAGTTACTTGCTCTTAAGACATTAGCAAACAGTTTAAAGTCTTGTCTATCTCTTCTTTTCTGCAGCACATGACAGCCCGGGGGCAGCTCAGTGTGTTTGTGTGAGCACAGTGTGTGTGTGTGTGTGTGTGTGTGTGTGTGTGTGTGTGTGTGTGTAGGGAGTCCCCATCTCCTTCAGGTGCCAGTCTTCCCCAGCCCACCTGAGTTCCTCCCCTACTCCCAATACCTGTTGCTAGTTCTGATTTAAGCTCCACACATGGAGACTCCAACCCAGCCCCTCCTCCACCCATCGAATCCCAGAGTCCTGTCTGCCCAGCCCTGCTGCCTCCTTCCTCCCCACATGCTTCTCCAGACACCATGTCCCACTAGCAGAGCTCCTAGCAGTCTGCCTGAACTGGGCAACAGCAGCCACTGGCTCAGAGGTCACTTCCTGGGTTCAGATGTGGGGAGGAAAGGGTAGGGGAAGCCTCTCCCTGCTGGAACTCAGGGCCACAGGCATAGGGCTGCCCACTTTGTCCTTGAACCCACAAAGCCCACCCATCCATCTCCAGGCAGCAGGAGAAAGCGGGACAGAGGCATGTTCCCTTCTCAGCTCGCCCACAGCCTTGGGATCCCTGAGCAGTTTAAAGGCCAGGACGCAGGCAGCAGGCTGGAAGGGGAGGGGGGCATCTATTTCAGACAGGGATCCTGTGATAGGAAGCGGTGACAATGAGTCACAGGGCAGCGGGGCACGAGCGCTCTTCCCTCCTCCCTCTCCCCCCTCCCCCCCCCCCCCCATGCTCGCGGGATGGTTTCCGTGGCAAGCGTGGCCCACTTTGGTTACCTCAGCCGTTACACAATCCCGCCCGCCCGTCAGCCCTCGAGAAGGAGGGGCCAACCAGCCAAGCCTGCTGGCGGCCCTTATGCAACCAGTGCTCTCCTGACCTAATTCCACACCGGACCCAGTCCACCCGGAGCCGCGGCCCCGGAAGGGACACTTCCCGGCCCGCAAGGACGGCCTGGGCTGGTGGGACAGCAGACACAGGTGCCTAGAGAACACCTGGGGCTGGCGGAAATCCAGAGGAGCCTTGCGAGGGTGGGAAGGTTGCGAAGTTTCCAAGTTTCCGTCTGGGCAGGGAAGGCGCAGGCAGGTGTAAAACGGAGCCCAGGCATGCAGAAACAGAGGGAGAAGGAGAGAAAGAGAAACAGAGTCGGTGACACTGAGCAACAAACGGAGTGACAAAGGTGCGAAAGACAAAAGGAGAGCCAGAGCCAGTGTGCCACAAACAGAAACGGAGATACAGAAACACAAGCTAACAGGAGACACAGAAAAAGACGAAGAGCAACAGAGACAGAGGGGCAGAGAGAGACACAAAGAAAGAAAGAGAAATTGGTAGGGGCAGAGGAAAAGTCCAAGAGTGAACTCCAGAAACCCCTCCCCCACTCCAGTCTCGGTCCATGCCGTGGTCCCCTGAGCACTCCTGGGCTCTGGACCATCCCCCACCTCCCTGTGCCTTCACTGCCAGGAGATTGCGGTGGGCTCACCTAGTTTGACTGCTTCGTTGTACTTGAGTAGTGCCGCCTCCACCTGGCGCTCGCGGTACAGCCGGTTGCCCTCGTGGCGGAGTTGCGATGCCCGAGCTCGAGCAGGGAACAACTTGCCAAGGAGACCGCTGAGCACCACATTGACCCGCAGTGGCGGCGGCGCCTGCTGCCCAGCCCGCCGGGCTCCGCGCGCCAGCCCGGTGGCTACCATCAACGCTGAGAGCTTGACCCCGCACAAAGCACAGCGCCGGTCGGCTGCCCGCCCGCGTTCCAGGCAAACTTTACAAAAGGTGTGGCCGCACGACAAGGACACGGGGTCCCACAGAAACCCGTGACACTTCCGGCACTTGAAGCCATCCCACAACTCGGTGGCCTCAGTGGCGTTTGCCACCCCTGCCTCTTCCGCCCCCACCACACAGCTCGCAGCGCTGCCCCCGACCGCGGGCGCTGGCGCCAGCTCCTCTCCTGTCCGGATGTTCTCTGCCAGGCAGCTCACCAGCTGCTGCAGTTGCTCAGCCACCAGCTGCTGCCGCTCCGACAGCTGTCGGTATACCTCGAGGGCTTCCCGGAGGCGCCCCCCGGACGCCAGGGCGTCTGCCTGTGTGAGCAGGACTTTGCACTCGGTCGTGGAAGCCGTAGGAGGCTCCTCTGGCTCCCGCAGAGGCAGAGGTGAGAGACCTTCTGTAGCTGCCTCCGGATGGCCCGAATCAACACGGGGCACTGATGCCGCTGGCTCCGCCAGCTCTAAGTTGTTGCCCGTGAGCTCAGCGGGCAAACTCGGCATCTGTTCAGCCTGAAAGAAATCCATTAAAGGAAGGACAAACTTGGGAAGAGGCGTCTAAGGGCCGGGGACCCAGAACAGGGAGCGGTGGCTGGAGGGAATTGGGGTTGCCACTGCTGTCGTGCTGCCGCACACCGGTCCCTGCCGCGCCTCCAAGAGCTCCATGCCGGCCGCCTCGCGCCGCCTAATAACTGTCTTGTCTTAGCAAAGCGTTATATAAAACGTCACCACGTGACGAGCCGCCACGCTGCTCATTGGCCAGCGGCAGGGAAATTGTTACAAAACCAGACAGTTTTGTAAGAGTGTTGCGCTTGGGTTTTTTTGGCTTAGTTTTTCTTGGCTTCTTTTTGAGGTTGTTTGTGTTTACACTGTCTTATTTCCCCCTGGCAATGTGCTTCCTTTTCGGACGGGCGGGAGAGGGGAAAAAACAAACAGTGTTTGCTCCAGGCTCGTCACTCCAAACTACCCTATCCCACTTCCAAACCTGGCAGCAAACAGATCCATTCGCTAGCGGCCCTCTCCCCACTCTCCTCACCGCCCCCCCCCCCCCCCCCCACGTCTCTCTCCCCACCTTCCCTAACCCCCAGGTATCTCGGGCAACACAGTCAGCTAAGTCTTTTGGTACGACCAAGTCTCGTCCTTCTAGGGTTGACCACAGCTGTCTGCAAAGAGAAGCGGGTTAGGAAAGGTCTCCAGGAAGACCCTCACCCCTGTTCCGGCCCCCTGCCCACCTTCTCCTGAGAGTCCTACAAAAGTAGTGAATACAGTTATGCGAGGGCGTTTGGTATCCAGTTCTAGAAGCGTCACGGAACGCTGGTGGTGTAAAAGTTCTGTGGCTGGAGCTGAGCTGTGGGGGACGCGTGAATATGTGCTCACCGGCTCACGCTAGGACGTTGGAGACCAGCGTGCCCAGGCTCTTCATCTCTGGAATCTGGAGAAGGATTTGGCCGGCAGGGGGGGCACCCGCTGGATGGGCGGGGCCATGAGGACTCTGCCTGCGGGGGTCAGTGGGTACTCTGGTGGGTGTGGGAGCGCAGCGGGCTGAGAAGGACCGGAGAGCACCACTCCGAAGAAAGTCTTCTAGTCCTGGCTTACTCCAGGACTAGAAGGACAGCCGGCCAAGCTGTCTCCAGTTTCACCACTCCAGAGCCCTGAGTTCAGACATCCTGGTGTGTGTGTGTGGGAGGGGGGGAGGAGGGGGGTGTTGTGCCCGAGACAGTAGGGTTGCACACAAGCTGGAGGGATTAGGCTTGCGGTGACTAGGAACCCTCAAGTGTGCCCGGATTAGGTACAGAAGGCCAGTGTGAACCTCCCACACTGTCTCCTTCCAACCCTCACACTTCAGATGGGAGCCACAGGCACAAATATTCCAGCAATGCTTAGAGACCTAAAGGAATAACGCACTTCCACCAACTTCACGCTGAGCAGAGGAGGGAGGCGGGATCTGGGCTTGCCTCTGGCTCAGTCAGCCTCCAGATCTGCGGGCTCTGGACAGTGCCTGGAGCAGTGCCCAGGGCATAACGCTCCCCTGGGACCTGAGGACCTACAGTTGGCTCCTGCTGTGTCCACTTCTTAGCCAAGTGACCTTGAGCAAGTGACTTAATTTCTGGGGGCCATCATTTAGGCTTCTAAACCAATATCAGGGAAGGTCTTAGTTGGGATCAAGTCATGGTTCAGGGCTGGGGACCACAGCCTCTATCTGGGCTCTTTGTTGTTTAGGTCGTTAATCCCTCCTTGAGTCAACACCATGGTAACAGAGAGCAGGTACTGTGCAGCAAAGGGAAAAAAGACCAAGAAAATAAATAGAAGAACTCAAGATGTAACCAGGAAGGCATAGGCACACATAGGAAAACTTGTGTTGCAGCCATATATATTTTTTCATAACCTTGGAACCCTAGGAAAGCCTCAGTTTCTCCTAATTTCCAAGGTTCCCTTCAGCCTTAATATTGAGTGGCTTCTATCTTAAGACCAGATTTAATGATTCAAGCTCAACTACTTAAGTGCAAAAGTACTTAGGCTACATGTTGTGGGTCAGGGCTTGGACAGGGGTGAAGTCTGCAGTCATGTTGGAGGGGTAGGGGTGGATAGATAGATGGCTGTCAGGCCTGAGCTAGATTTTGAAGGTAAGGAAGTCTTAGGACTGGCCAAGAGGTGGAAGAGATGGGTATACCTGGCAGTAGGGGAGAAGTTAGGGCTCCTGATGACTTGCTGTCTAAAGTGAGCTCCTTTACCCTTCAGTTTTCCCTGCTGTTGATGAGTTGTCTTAGTCCTTTCAAGCTGCTATAACAAAATGCCATAGACTGGATAGATTGTAAAAAACAAATTTATTTCTGGAAGTTGGGGTGTCCAAGATCATGGCTCTTACAGATCCAGTGTCTGGTCTGAACTTGTTTCCTTGTTCATAGGTGGCTCTTTTTTAATATAACCTCACATGACAGAAAGGGGCAACTGATCTCTCTGGTGTCTCTTTTATATGGACACAAATGCCATTTGTGAGGGATCCCTCATAACCTAATCATCTCCCAAAAGATTGGGTAACCCCCATTTCCAAATATTTGGGTAACCCCCATCTCCAAATATTATCACGCTGGGGGTTAGCTTTAAAAGTATGAATTTGGGAGGGACACATTCGGTCTAATGCCTGCCCCTTCTGGCATCTGTATGGAGGGACAGTCTGTAGTACAGGTTTAGAGACTTTTATGAAAGAGCCATGAGATGGATAATGGTGAAAATCTCTTAATTCAAGAGCTTTATCCATTTAACAGATTTTTAAAGAGATGTTGGTTACCCAAAATTGTTTTCCAAATGCATATCTGGGATGTACCTTCCTCCCTGGATCACCTTGACAAGTATGTATCCCAGGGTTGTTTTCCCTCCCGTGCTGGTGAGGGGTGGAAAGGCAAGGAAGCCAAACTGGGAAGTGGGTCTCAGTCCTGTAAGCATGCATAGAGATTCTCTCATCAGGTAGCCCCCTCTAGCAGCTGCATTTGCCTAAGGCTGACCATGAACTTAGGAATGTTAGTAGATTCCAGTGTGTTGCAGGGTGAGCTGTGCAAAAGGCAGCACCATCTACTAACTAAGCAGATTTCATGAGAGTTTTACATTGTATTTTCAAATCAGGACTGCTTGGAAGACAACATGAAATGACTTTCTATTTTATTTATTTTTTAAAAAAAATATATTTTATTGATTTTGTTCAGAGAGGAAGGGAGAGAGATAGAGAGCCAGAAACATCGATGAGAGAGAGTCATCGATCAGCTGCCTCTTGCACACCCCCTACTGGGGATATGCCCACAACCAAGGTACATGCCCTTGACCGGAATCGAACCCGGGACCCTTCAGTCCCCAAGCTGACGCTCTATCCATTGAGCCAAACCTGTCCCGGCGAAATGACTTTCTATTGAATACTGGAAAACATTACCACTGTGATTTTCTTTACTTCTTTATTTAAAGTAAACATTACATTGATATACATTTTTAGACTAACTTTGAAGTTTCCTAGTCAAAACTTTCTCCTCTCTGCCCTTACGAATTGGAACTCCCTAGAAGGAGGGGAGAGGAGAGATTGACAACGGTTTGTCTGATGGCATATATTCCTTTTGGAGGGCCTGGTTATTCAAACCTCCATTTATTTTCCTAAGGTTAAGTAGGAAAAACAGCAAGTTAATCTTCAACTCCTTTCTAATTGACTGCAGTAAGTGACTGGGCTCTGAGGAACATCTCTGGTGCCAAGAGTAGACCTGAGCAAGCAGCGTTCGAACCTAGCTCCTCTTACCAGGGCTACCTTATATCCACCTGTTTCATTGAAGAAAGGCTTTCCCTTCTTTAAACTAAAAGGTTTGAAAACCATGGCAATTAGTACCTATTTTATGTATGTAGAGCACCTTCTATGTGTCAGGTACCGTTCTAGGTATTGGATATATATCAGAGCAACACTTGACTCCCAGGTTCTCCCTTACATATGGTAGCACATTCTTTCCCCACACATTTATGTCCCCACTTACCAGGTAGACTAGAAGTTCCATGAGGGCAAGGTCAAGTGTCTTGTGTCTTTCATCTCCTTCTCAGAAGACAGTACTTGAACTGACTGTAACAAATGTGGCAGTGGATTGGAGTGTGCAGAGGGACAAGAGTAAACCAGCTGGAACTGTCATACCTTTTTCCTGTGACATTCATAGAGGAGACAGTGGGCATGCATATAATTAAGGGTTGACAGTCCTATGCTTGGGAATTGCTGCTAAACAGCTCTGGGATGGAAAAATCTAGTCAAATCCAGGGGCCTAGGGTGAGGAGTGAGCAAAAACCCCACCCCTACACATGCACACATACTAGGCATGGAAGCTTGGCCAAAACACTTATTTTCTCTTGTATTTCTCATTTTATATACTGGGGGTGAGCCATCAATTAGGCAGTCCTTACAGGGGGAAAAATTCACTGTGGACATTAATAGCAATGGCATAAAAAAGGCTGTCCCTTGCTATCTAGAGTAGCCCAAACACAGAGCTAAAAGAAACTTTACAGATCAACTCTGGTTTCACGAAGGAGGGAACTGACAGTAAGAGAAGGCAAGTAGCCCTAGCTGGTTTGGCTCAGTGGATAGAGCAGCAACCTTCAGACCAAAGGGTCCAAGATTTTATTCCAGTCAAGGGCATGTACTTCAGTTGCAGGCTCCTCCCTGGTCAGGGCATGTGCAGGAGGTAACCAATTGATGTGTTTCTCTTACATTGATGATGTTTCTCTCTGTCTTTCTCTCTCTTCCACTCTCCCTAAAAATCAATGGGAAAATATCCTCAGGTGAGGAGTACCAAAAACAAACAAACAAACAAACAAACAATAAATAAATGTGATTAAATGTTAGAGAGAGAGAGAGAGAGAGAGAGAGAGAGAGAGAGAGAGAGAGAGAGAGAGAGAGAAAGGGAGAGATTTGCTGTAGGTCACAAGGGGAGTTTGTGACAAAGCCAGGATTGAAAGCTAAGGCTCCTGTCTCTTTAAAGTTCTTTCCATGTGTTAAGAAAGCTCCCAAAGGACACAGAACACATCCCATAATGAATAAGAAATTATTTCAGATTTCCCAATCACAAAATTTGCAAGTCAACAAATATTCATTAAACATATATTATGGGATGATAGAGCTGGCATTTATGGGGCTAATAAGAGAAGGGTATGTCATCGTTCTCTGAGCATAAACAAGTAATC